ATGAATGTAAGCCTAAGCTTTTCAGTCTTTCTTCATATGGAAGGTTTCTAATATTATGGATCATTTTTGTCATTCTTCTTTGTACTCTCTCCAAAGAATCTATGTCCATTCTATAATAAGGACACCAGAACTGAACCGCATAATCCATGTGTGGCCTCACTAATGCTAGGTAAAGTTTCAAGATAACGTCAGCAGTTCTGTTACTCACAGACCTAGATATGAACCCAAGAATCCTGTTTGCCTTGTTGCGAACGCTAATACATTGTTTTCTAGGTTTCAAATCGTTGCTAACAAATACACCTAGATCTTTTTCACAAACTGAGTTTTCTATTTCCGTGTTACCTAGTTTATACTTAACGTTTGTATTCGTCTTCCTATCTGTAGTACCTTGCATTTATCAGTATTAAAATTCATTTGCCAGTCTACTGACCACTCATGTAAGGTATCTAGATCTCTTTGAAGGTGTTCAAAGTCACTGTCTGAATTTATCACTCTCCCCATTTTGGTATCATCTGCAAATTTACTAATCCTACTAGTTATGCCTAAATCAAGATCATTAATGAATATAACAAACAGCAGAGGGCCTAATACAGATCCATTTATGCTGACTCTTTGTTTCCTACCAGTTAACCATGACCTAATCCATTTTAATACTGATCCACCTATTCCATGTGCTTCTACCTTCCTTATCAATCTCTCATGAGGGACTCTATCGAATGCTTTACTGAAATCTAAATAAATTATATCATATGACTTAGCCTATCATTATCTACCGCTTCAAATACTTCTGAGAAAAAGCTAAGCAAATTTGTGAGACAAGAACGTCCCTGGGTGAACCCGTGCTGAGAAGAATGAATTAAGTTGAATGTTTCAAGGTGGCTTCTGATTTTTGTAGCAATAATTGACTCTAGCAACTTGCCTATGATTGACGTGAGACTAATGGTGTAACGGGCCGAGTTTCCTCTTTTCAATAATTTACCATCCAGTTATTCTTTTCAATGAGTATCCCGTTTTATATACTTATCCTTCTTCAGTTCTTTACACACATACTTACTTTATATATTCTTGCTTATATTCTTATATGTTCTTTATCTCTATATACCTTATATTCTTATATATTCTTATATAAGTAACTCTTATGCTTCTCTGCTTATGTTCTCCAAGTCAATGTTCTTTCTTTTCATTTCCTGTCATATATTATGATCTCATCCATATATTTTGTTCTAGTTATATTCTAAACCATGGATTAACCTGGGAAACCATGTCTTTGTTATTACCACACTTATTATACTTACAACGGTAGCCTGCCACCACCCAGGATTTTCTAGAATATAACATCTCTTAGTTAACTGTTAGGTAGCGAGCTTCTAGGCACGTGAGTTAGTTATTTTCTGAGAACCAATGTGGGAAAGGATAGAGTGGTGATACTCGTAGACGTAGATTACTAATTCAATATTTATTAACACAGTGATTGGATAAGATGCATCTTAGATTCACTCAGACAAAACAGAACTGCAATTTGTTTCTTAAGTCATCAAACACTTCAAGAACTTATTACCTCATTAAATACCTCCAAATACTTATTACTTCAATCGACAATTGTGGTATTGTCACTCTGCCAAATGATATTCAGTACTGGGTATACACCAGATATCACTGGACCCTCAGGTCTTACCTTACCAAGTAGCAAATTAACTCTTCACTTCTTGGTTATATCATTATACTCTCAGATTATCATTTCATGGTCACTACCAATGAATACATAGCACACTGGACAACTCCACAATTATCTCAACATACAATACCTCCTGTTAATTCACAAGGAACAACATGGCACTTTTAACTCTCATTCAGTGGTTCAATACTTAACCTGGGATACTATATTTCTGCTAGTTATCCCCCAAACAAGGTACCATAATACTTAGGCCTATGTGACTGTGAGGAGTGCCCCAGGGTAACGCTGGTCTCTACAACAAATGAAGATCGCTGTTAGGGGTCGGTTGTAGACCGACACACGCTCAGGGAGTGGGCGCCTGATTTGCGGGAAACGGACTTCCCAGTTCAGTCCTGTCGAATTAACGGCATCGTCCAACCCGGTTACCGCCCCACGTTAGCTGATGAGTATTCAGCTCAACACACTGGAGAGACGTTGAGGAAGTCACGAATGCGTGATTCTCCCTCGTGTAGAGGTATATATGTGCACCTGCTGGGCAGCTTGGGCCTCCATATTCATACCAGAAGGGTCGATCTTACCAACAACATAACTTCTCTATCATTTTGGATCACTGTATACTTAGTTATGAACTCCGGTGTTCTTGATCAGGGTAATTTCCTATGTCTATTCATATAATCTAATCAGAGGTTGAGCTTGCCAGGAAAAGGTGGAATATACACGTCGATAACATTAATTCTGCAAGCTCAGGCCTGAGGCGAACAAGGGGCTATTCACGGGGAGGCGCTAGATCTTGGAGATTATACCAGTTGACAGAATAGTTCAGGAGATTAATGACTTTCTCAAATAGACAACTGACACTAATTAAACTATAAACATCAGATTCTCTGATGTCGGGGCGACAAAATGATATAACTTCAGGCGCGATCAGAAACTCATGGATACCCCCACGGACGACATAAAATACGCCACTCTAGCTGGCAAACTCGACACTCACTTACTTGACACGTTCTACTAACGATAAGGACAGTTGAAGCATTCTACCCCACTCACAATGGATCTTGAATGTTCCAACTGTAAACAGACATATCTAAGTTGACTCAAAACAAGGGTGTTCTCTCTCACACTCAAATCCATTTTATAGAGAGGTTGGTTTCAGTAAGTCAGAGAAAATGGGATAACGGAGGACTGAGGTGTCTTGAAGTGATGAGAAAACGGACTCCTCAGATGGAGGACTCAAACGAAAGCCGAGGTACATGTTTTGTGGGCTATTGAGCGTAATATGAATCATTTGATTTTTGGCGCTAACTGACGTGTAAGACCGTGGTCATTACAATGGGACGGTAATTTGATGCTATTGATTTATCACCCTTTTTGAAAATCGGAACTACATTTGCAAGTTTCCAAGCTTCTGGCACTAGGCCCGATTCTAATGACTTATTAAATAAAACTGCTAATGGATTACTCAACTCATCTCTACATTCTTTCACGTGTGCGCATGCCCACTTACATACGCGATCTCTCTTTTTTTCTTTACCATTATCGTTAGCTACTTCTATTGTTCCATTTATTAACATTAAATAACATTACTTAAAACAACCATATTAATTTTACTACAGCTACAACCAAGGTCTTATTTTCTTCAGTTTTATATGTAGAACCAGTCAGTCACTGGTTTTGTAATCAACGAAAACAATGCTGTGTCATTTCCTCGTGTGTTTTAATATTCTACGTATTATTAATGAATTGTATTGCTCATTTTGCACACATAAACATTAATTCAATAAAAAGGATATTCAGTAATAAACAATAATGAATCTTTTGTACATAAGAGAAATGACGCTGTTTACACGATTATGCACGTCGTCTGCACGTTGGCGGGCCGTTCAAACCCGTCGAAATTCAAGTTTCCGCCTTCAAAATTTTTATTTATCTATTTTTTTGTGTGTTCCAATAAAATGCGTTAAGAATTAAAAACTCGCGAAATTTTATTAGCTACTATACGACATTTAACCCTTCAATATGTCTTCAAAGAGACCATGATGCAGAGAAAGTGGTACTAGTGCTTCCAAGCATAAGCACAAGTCACTATCTATCCAGGAAAAGGGTGAATTTCCATGGTCCGGCACCGGTCAGGTCCCGAGGTTGCCGGACTAGAGAGGTACAACCTGTACTGGAATATGTTTAATTAGTGCTACTTCACTTGGAATTGTATTGCAATCTTATTCGGTCTCTTGAGATGCACCAGACTGCCAATAGACTGAGAACACCCGAAAGAGGGCTACAAACACCGCACAACATCTAAAAGCTAAAACTACAAATTCTTCAAAACATGAGGTTTATACTGCATATGAATGCAAAAGATTATATTGCTCATGAAGTCCTCCATTCATTGGATATGCTCATTGTGGCAGGTAGAGTGAAGCAGTTGGAGCTGCATCATGCTGGCAGCTGTGTCCAGAGTATCTTACAACAAACTTTGTAAGGATTGGGGTCTATACTCTAGGGATATGGAGTGATAGGGATAGAGGGAAAGTGAATACAATTTTATGGTACCTGGAGTCTGCAGTCAAGCAAAAACCACTTTATTCTTTATACTGTAGTTATAGGCTATATTATAGATGATTGGAACAATTTACCTATCCACATTAAAACCAGTAATGTTATCAAACAGTTCAAAGCTAAAACTAAAACATACATAGCTGATAAACTTATTGCAGGAGGAGAGAGCGAGTTTCTATACAGTACAGTATTACTAAACATGGTGTAGAATGTTGTACAGTACAGTACAGTATTGTTGAACTGATCTTATTAGCCACGGATAGTCCAAGCGCAATATAATACAGTATACTTGTTATATATACTGTACGTATATCAATAAATTTAAATTTTTATCCTTATAAATTTAGTGATTGCTATGCAAATCTAAACAAAGGACTTTATTGAAAATAAGCACCCTATGACTTTGTTGACTATCCCTGGTCAAATTGTCTTGTTGTTTATCACTTTTTATATACTGGACCTGCACTGTCTAGGTGCATTTTTTCCACAGTTTATGTACACTGTATGCAGTACTTCTGTACTGTACTGTACCTACATTGGCTATATGCATGCTGAACGAATTTTAAACTTTTATTATTTTACTGAATATCTATAAAGTATATTTTCGAAATGTTTCAGAGGGTTACTGTTTTCTTTAATCAAATTCTGTCTTATAGCGTATGAACCAGAAAATTTTAAGATCTGGCTATTCTTAGGTCCCAAGGTTGCCACATTAGGGAGGCTTAACCTGTATTAATTACAAGAATACTGTACATTTTTCTTACAGGTTCATTTTTAGACGAGCCATCACCATCACTCGTGTGGTTGTGCTCAGGGATGCCCAGCCCAGAAAAGTTCCCAATCCGGGAGATGAATCTTACCTTACAGGATGGAAAAGTTCTGTCCATCACTCCAGAGTGTCTGTCTGCTGGCCTCCAGTATGGGCCCGCCCCAGGGTAGGTGGTGTCCCTCACTCTGTATCATTTACCCATTAAGTAGGTAATAATGCCATGCACTTGACAGCACATTATGTTAACCTTGTGAGTCTGTGTTAACGCTCATAGTGTAACGGGCCGAGTTTTCTCTTTTCAATAATTTACCATCCAGCTATTCTTTTCTGTTAGTATTCTATTTATTCATATACTTATATGTTCTGTGTAGCATTCTTCCAATGAGTACCCTGTTTTATATACTTATTCTTCTTCCATTCTTTACATATATATTTATTCTTATATATTCTTACTTATATTCTTATGTTCTTTATCACTATATACCTTATATTCTTATATAAGTAATTCTCTTCTCAGTTCCGTATGTTCTTTATCTTAATCTTTCATGATCTATATATTTAATAATTTCTATGCTGTGTCATTAGTTCCACAATGTACATACATGTCTTATCTTTCTTTTCTTATATTTTCCAAGACTTTCATTTCGTTCATATCTATTATATTCTCAGTTTCAATGTTCTTACCTTTCGGAAGTATACTGTTTTATTTCTATTCTTATACATGGGTTAGTCTGGGGAACCATGTTACTCTTAGTACAACTCTTTTTATACTTACACAGGGTAGCTGCCACCACCCAGACTTTTCATTATATAACAGAACTCATGGAAGGGTTTTGGGTAGTGTGGTAGCTGTATAGGCACGTGAATAAGTATTATTTTCTGGGAACCAATGTTTAGAGGGAATAGAGTGGTGATACTCGTAGATTTACTAATTCAATATTTATTAACACAGTGAGTGGAGAAGATGCATCTTAGGTTCACTCAGACAAAACAGAACCACAATTAACTTATTACGTCATCAAACCCTTCAAGAACTTATTACCTCATTAAATACCTCCAAATACTCATTACTTCATTAGACAATTGTTGTATTATTCCTCTGACAAATGAGATTCAGTAATTATACACAAGATATCACTGGACCCTCAGGTCTTACTTTTACAAGTAACAAATTACATCTTCAATTCTTGGTTACAACATTTAGCAATCAATATATTATTCCATTGTTACTGCAAGTGGATAATATGACACTGTAGGGGTATCGAGATATTAATGTTGTCTAGCACTCAGGATGGAAGGAAACTCTAATGTGGTTTTCTTGTATAATATATAAGTTATATGATAGACAGTCTGGTGCTGGAGATGCCGTGTGGTGAGGGGCTGCACGGTAGAGACGTTCGGTGAGTAGCTTGTTGAAGGAGGTAGATGTGCAGGAGCTTCCTTAGAGAAGATGTTGCCTGTAGCTGGCCTCCTGGTTGAATGAAATGTTAACAGCATGGAGCTTGCTGGAGGAGATGTTGCTTGTTCAGGAAAATGGGCAGAATGAGAGTTGGTTGGTGAGGAAGCTCAGAGAAGGACAGCTGGTGGGTCGCCATGATCGCTGGCGGGAGCGAGGACCGCCAGGCAGGCGAGGAGAAGCGAAGGCAGCCAGGCAGCGGAGGAGGAGGAGGTGTTGCTTGTTCAAGAAGAATGGTCAGAATGAATCTCAATGGAGAGACAGAGCTTATATACCCAGCAGCCGCTATGAGTCATGTTGGGAAAACCCAGAAAGTCGCCGGTGACTGGTTCCGTTGCTAAGATACGGTAACATCTGGTTGGTTGCTAGGGAAGGCGGTAGCAGGTGGTGGCTGTGGCTACGCAGTTGTAGGCAGTTGTAGGGGAGACGTCCACTACAACATATTTCCTGGTAATATCAACATTTATGGTTTCACTGCTTAACCTGGGATTTCCATCTGTTAGTTAATCCCTCAATCAAGATACAATAATACTTAGGCCCGTGTAACTGTGAGGAGTGCCTCAGGGTATATATCCCAAGTGTCTCCATAACAAATGAAGATCGCTGTCAGGGGGTCGGTTGTAGACCGACACACGCCAAGGGAGCTGCCGCCTAAGTTGCAGGAAAAGGACTTCCCAGTTTAATCCTGTCGAATTAACGGCATCGTCCAACTCGGCTACCGACCCACGGTAGCCGATGAGTATTCAGCTCAACACACTGGCCTGGAGATACGTTGAGGAAGAGTCACGAATGCGTGATTCTCCCTCGTGTAGAGGTATATACGTGCACCTGCTGGGCAGCTTGGGCCGCCATATTCATGCCAGAAAGGTCGATCTTACCAACAACATACCTTCTCTACCATTTTGGATCACCGTATATTTAATTATGAACTCCGGTGTTCCTTATCAGGGTAATTTCCTATGTCTATTCATATAATCTAATCAGAGGTTGAGCTTGCCAGGAAAAGGTGGAATATACACGTTGATAACATCAATTCCGCGAGCTCAGGCCTGAGGTGAACAAGGACCTATTCACAGGGAGACGTTAGATCTTGGAGATTATACCGGTTGACAGAATAATTCAGGAAATTAATGAGTTTTTAAATAGACAACTGACACTAACTAAACTACAAACATCAGATTCTCTGATGTCGGGGCGACAAAATAACATAACTTCAGTAGCGATCAGAAACTCATGGGTATTCTTAGGGAACGAAACCGATGGGTATCGTTTGTCCTGGCAGACTCAACACTCACTTACTTGACACGTCTTATTAACAATAAGGACAGTTGAAGCGGTCAACATCACTCACAATGGATCTTGAATGTTTCAACGGTAAACAGACATATCTAAGCTGACTCAAAACAAGGGTGTTCTCTCTCACATTCAAATTCATTTTATAGAGAGGTTGGTTTCAGTAAGTCAGAGAAAATGGGATAACGGAGGACTGAGGCGTCTTGAAGTGATGAGAAAACGGACTCCTCAGATGGAGGACTCAAAATAAAAGCAGAGGTACACGTTTTGTGGGCTATTGAGCGTAATATGAATCATTTGATTTTGGCGTTAACTGACGTGTACGACCGTGGTCGTTACAATAGGAGCGTTATTGGTTTATTGCTGGAGAAATAAACCCTCAACGTTGACGTGTACCATATAATTCGGTCAAAACATGTTAAAGAACAATTCACATATAACAAATGCTGTCATCTCAGGACACATAGAATGAATAATACAATCAAATTACAGTACATAAATATACTTATTAAAGTTATTTAGAGTTTATATTTACGTTTTAGGGTCTTGGGTTCGACCAGCGTGTTGTTTCTTCTGCAAGAATTGGTAGACTACTGAGCAATCGCCATCCAATCGCAGCCCTAGACGAGGGCATCTGTTTTATATTAGACAACCAACAAACACGTTGTCAGCACTGCCCCCCCCTTCTCACCCTCTCACTCTCTCTCATGTTTATCTTACTGTGGCGGTAACACTCCCCCTGTCGGGCTTCGCACGAAATCACAGCATATAATTTGATTCACTTTCCGACCCCTCCCAACAGGCAGAGTCTCGTCACTGGGTGTATTAACACTGAGTCCTTTGTCTTCACTTTAACACTTCACACCAGGCCATCTTTGCTCGGTAGAGTCTCCAGTACTCTCCCTAGCATCCACTGACTCCTGGGAAGGGGTTGTCCAGAGATGATCACGATATCCCCAGCGTGGAGATTACGGCAAGTTTTGAAGAACCTTTGTCGCTGACGCAATGTTGGGAGATATTCTTTTACCCACCTTTCCAAAATTGGTCCGCAATGAATTGGGTATACTTCCATCTTCGTCGGTACCCTTCTGTCATGGACCGATCACCTCCGGTGGACAGTGTGTCTCCGGGTTCATCCCTAGTATGTGAAGCGGCGTTAGTGCTTCTAGATGCTTTGGGTAGTCAGACACTGGAGTGATGGGCCTTCCGTTGATAATCTCTTTTACAGCGCAGAACACAGTGCTGAGGCGTTCATCATCTAGTGTCTGGGTGCCCACCACTCCCTGGAGGACCTTCCTTACAATGCGGATTTATTGCTCCCACACTCCTCCTATGTGAGGCTGTCGGGGGGTTGAACTGCCATTCTATTTGTTTCTGTAGAAGGGCATTCCCGACCTTGTCACTGTTGTTCCAGCCGTTCACCGGCTCGTGAAATCTCGGCTAGCTCCAATCATGTTGGTTCCCGTCAGACCTAACACGCTTGGGAGGCCCCTCATGGAGGCATCTTGTCAGGCATTGGGGAACGAGTCGGTGCTCCAGTGAGGGAGGGACTTCTAGGTGTATGGCTCTGTGGCCGCAGGTGAATAAGCATCCCCACCCTTCTGCCTACCATTCCTTGTTGAACCAAAAAGAAGGGCTGAAGCACGCCAGTGTAGGTGAACGGCTGGCCTCCTGGGCGCACTCTCGACTTCCCGGCAGGTCGGGTTTGGCGTTGATGGGTAGGCTTCCAGTTGGTTCTTCGCAAGTCACACACACGTCCAGAGCTGTGCGGCGAGTAATTTGCGGCACTTAGGTATCCAGTACGCCTGAATGATATGGCAAGAGTGTGTTCTCTTCCCGAGTGTCCAGCTCTAGTTGAGAGTACCTCTCCTTGGATGAGCCCTGATCCTGTTGTCCCTTGGCAATATATGGAATTCTCCCGGCCCGGGTGGAGAGCCGGGCGTGTTTCAGTCGACCACCCACTCTGATCAGACCGTCCGCAGTTCCAGATGAGGTTCCAGCCGCCTTTATTTCGCTATCTCTCACGGGTTGTCCCTGTTGTACTGTAACATTCCTAGTTCTCGCCGAGGGAATCCTTCCTTGCATCAATCTTAAGACGCAAGCACGCCTTCCAATTTGCTGGACCTGGAGCCAATTTTCTCGTGATGCTTGTTCTTTTCGCTTCCCAAACCGCCATTCTATAAACCTTTCTAATCCACGCCACGCCTGCAGAAGTCGATACAATGAGTACCTGGCCCATAGCTAATCGAGGGTACCCTCCCCTGGTCAACTTTCGTCGTCAGCAAATCGCGGTTTCTTCACCTCTGGGTCTCCTCCGCCTCTGAGGTCTGGAATCCTCAATGGACTCTTGGCCAACTGTCTTCTTCCAACAACAGTGAAAGCAGGTCCTCGAATCCACCTTGCCTTCCCTCATTGAGCTCTGCTCTATGTAATCCATGGCTAGCGTCGTCGGCCGGGCCCATGCCGACGTCACGGCGCCATGAAATTACCTTTTGAGTCCTCGTGTACTGTTGCCACTCGACGGTCACGAAGGAATTGAAGCGTCTTTCGGTGTTTCGTATGTATTGAAGGACTGCCGTACTGTCTGGCCCGGAACACTGTTCTGTCTATTTGTAATCCGTTCTCGTTGTAGTCGTTTGTGCCTGCCTTGCAGCCAGTACCGTCGCGCAGAGCTTTGAGTCGAGGTATGGTCTGTTGTTTCAGAGGGGCTAGCTTGGCCTTGCCACGAAGGAGATTCGTTATTCAACCCAATGCCTCGTCTACACTATCTTTTGGGATATATATATATATATATATATATATATATATATATATATATATATATATATATATATATATATATATATATATATATATATATATATATATATATATATATATATAATTTGGCTCTTTTTGTGACGCTCGGAGCGATGAGTCCCAGTGGGTCATATATGGGGCCAACCATACCAGAAGGTTTCTGTTTCTTGTCTCTAATTTCTTAGGATCTGACCCGACCTCTAGTTCGTCCTTTTCCAGGTCCCACAAGATTCCCAAAGTTCGTTCATTGGGGAGCCTGCTGTCTTTCAAATCTACTTTATTCCTATGGCTTTTCTGTCTGTGGAATTGCTTTGGAGGACTTCCCTGTGATACAGACCTCTTTGTAAGACCTAATCTGCCCTTCCTTTTCAGCTGTCTCTCATTACCGGGTAATTATCGTTGCTCTCCCCAGCGAATCTATCGAGAGAAGCAGATCGTCAATGTAGAAGTTGGCACCTGCTTTCTTTGATGTCAACAGCGGAGATTCCTTCTGCAATCTTGGAATGTTCGTTGTAGCGCATATCCGCATGAAGGCTACACATACTTCAAAGAGTACTGTCGTTTATAAGTGGTGGCCCTGGCGGCTGGTTGTCCACCATAAGAATCGTAAGGCGTCTCGATGTTCGGTACTACTCACACTTAATGGAACATTATCTCGATATCAGCCGGAATGCCACCTTTCCTTGTCTGAATCTGATGAGGACTCCCATCAAATTTGCTGTTAAGGTTCGACCCTTGCATCACCTGGCTGTTCAATGACATCAACTCACATTTGACTGTACAATCAAATTATTTTCACCTTTTCTGGCTTGTTGGGATTCAATACGGGGTGGTGTGAGGAATACCAGGTCTTCCCGGGTGTAACACTGACGTTTTATATTAGATGACCAACAAACACGTTGTCAGCACTGCCTTCCCTTCTCACCCTCTCTCTCTCTCTCTCATGTTTATCTTACTGTGGTGGTAAGTCTGCATAGTTTTCACAATACTATCATTTTTTATATTGAGTGTATGAACCTCAGAATCCCATAAGCAAACCTGTATGCTAAAGACATGAACAAATATCTAAAAATACTGTGCAGTCCTGTATATTAGCACATCTTTCAGTTGTTCATATACGGTACAGTATTTATAAAAAAATTGCTCCATTGTCCTTTGCCATTTTTTTATAGTAAGGGTTTCTATAACATTTGTATTTTATTCAGAACTCATATTTCCATTTTTTCAAAGATTATTTGGCTGGAATATTATTTTACCATTGAAGTTTCAAATATTTTAAGATTTCTTATTTCCCTTTTATTACTGCTGAAATGCTCTCATACGGTGTTTACATGAAATACTACTGTTTTTCTACAATATTCAGATACATACCACTGGTGAAGCAACTCAAAACTATGACAAAGAGTCTACACTCTCCACCACTATGGGAAGAAAGTGACTTGTTAGTTACAATTGGCAGTCAGGCGGGTTTGTGGATGGCCTTTGAAATGCTTCTCAACCCAGGGGACTTTGTTGTTGTCCAGAAGACCTGCTACTCTGATGTCCTCTGCATGGTATGGGGTTGAATTTCACCATTATTGTGTACTCATTTCATGATGACAGTCATGACACCTCTCAGCTTCTTGTGGTGTTCATAGAGTTGACTTTTAGAGCCAGTTGTTTCTCAGGGCTGATGTCATCTTGTCACTATGACACTATTGCTCCATTTTTTGGTAGAGCAATAATTTGACACTATCATTTATCAATTATAGTACAGTATGTTGTTATTATAATGCAGTTTATTATTATAATTATTATTATAATCTTTTTGCGCTTTCACATTTCACTGCTTTATGTTAAAAAATCATCTAATCCTTAATAAAGTTGAAAACCTCTTAATAAGATGGCAATTGCAGTTGACAGCTGTGACACCACAGTACTTGGCTATAGAAAGTGATGACGAAGGGCTACAACCTGACTGTCTTCGGACAGCATTGAAGGAGGTTGTAAAAAATGGATCAAAAAATTTACTGAAGGTGGGAGCAGCATAAGATTTATTAATATCTGGTGTCACCATCTGAGTAGGTCTAATTGGCATTACAGTTTATTAAAAGATGAATACTGTACTTGCTCATTATCATTCACATATACAGTACAGTATGGGTACTTCTATTCCTTGTAAATACAAAATTTTTTTTTAAGACAATAATGAACTAATAACATTTATTATTATTATTAATTTTTAAATGGTACACCATACCTTAGGCTTTGTATGTGGTCCCCAATTCCTGCAACCCTACTGGCACTTCTATGGGTGAGGAGCGGCGTCGGGAGATATACGCCATTGCCCAGGAGTACGATCTTATCATCCTAGAGGATGACCCTTACTACTTCCTTCAGTATGATGAGGTAATTTACCAATATTTGACATAATATCTTGAAATTATTTGTGTGTGATTGTATCTTTTCAATAAAGCAATATCATTCTGTTATTTCTTCGTTTTATCAACAATAATGTACTGTTCTGATATGCACTGTACAGCATGTGCATTCCCTATCTTGATCTCAAATGGTCACATTTTTGTCCTGTATCCTATTTTAGCGGTCACAGTTTATTACAGTACTGTACTTGTACAGTATATCCATATTGGCAAAATTTCTCAACCCAAATACCCATAGCACAGGGAATGACTACATTATTTTATCTTGTTTGTTTCATAAAATTTAACTCGAGACACTTTCTTTGGTATTAATGTTGTTAAGGAACTTTTTTTGTGAATGTTTGCAATATTATAGCAATATACTACAGTAATATCCAAGCCCAGCCGAACTGATACTACAAGGGTATTATTAAAAAATATAATTTTGAGACTCTTCCCTTACTAAAGATATAACAGATGGTAAACATACCACACTTACATGGATCAATATAATTTGTTATATAAGTTACTTACCAAGACCAAACAATCTGTATTTGATGTCTAGTGCTTGTTAGAAAATGTTTCTTTATTGTCATCTGTTCTCTTTACCTTTTGAACACAGAGTTATATCATAATTTGTTATCATTGTAGTACTGGTGTAAAACTAACCATGCTACTTGCTTAAAGAATTTAAATTTTGAAGCGCAGTACATACTGTAATAACATTATAATAACAACAACCAATTGTCAGCTTACTAGCCATTTTAGGTAGTAGGTAGCAGGCAGCTATCAAACAGGGAGGTACTACCGCCTGGGAAGATTTTGGAAGCATTGTAGCATACTGTATGTGGCCAGTTATCAAGTTCTCTTTGCTTGTTTATTTCTCTGTATGGGCTCACCTACGTACGTACATGTAAGATATCTCACACTCAGGATGGAGGTAAGAATAGAAACTCACAATGTGTTTTCTGTATATATACAGTATTACCCCGCCTAACGCGGTTTCACTTTAACGTTTTATCATATACGCGCCTATTGAAATGAATTTTCACCTTTGATTTTTACATATGCGCGGTGATGTCCGGCTCGAACGCTATTTTTTAGATTGCCACCATACCTGCCTGACTGCTGTTGTATGTTTCCGCTTGATGGTGTAGGGCATTTAGATATTAATGTTGTCTAGCACTCAGGATGGAAGGAAACTCTAATGTGGTTTTCTTATATAATATAAGTTATATGATAGATAGTCTGTGCTGGAGGTGCCGTGTGGTGAGGAGCTGCTCTGTAGAAGACGTTCAGCAGGTGGCTGTAAGTTGAAGGAGTGTGTAGATGTGCAGGAGCTTGTAGAAAAATGTTGCCTGGTTGCTGGCTCCTGGTTGAATGGAATGTTAACAGCGTGGAACTTGCTGGAGGAGGTGTTGCTAGTTCAGGAAGATGGGCAGTGTTTAAATCTCAATGGAGAGAGGTTTCTATATACCCAGCAGCAGCCAACACCAGTCCTCTATGAATCATGTTGGGAAAACCCAGAAAGTTGCCGTGACTAGTTTCGTTCTTGCCAACCGCACTATCTGGCGTCAGCTCGCTTGCTGCTGCGAGATGGCATCGTCACCGCGATAAGCAGTTGTAGGAGACGTCCACTGGTTATTTCCTCCCTTCTCGGCCGGCGGAGGCTGATGTTGTCCGGTTGTGTCCCATACATTAACACAGTACCGGGCAGGATGACTCGACCGTTACGTGCAATAACCCGTCCAGTGACACAAACCTGTGGAGAATTAGAGGAGAAAGAGGGTTTGGGATTAGAGGAGGTCAGGCCAAGCAATGGTTGTTGTGCTCCTGCTGCTGCAGGGCTATGTCAGGAGGGTGGTCCATGGCAGGAAGCAGGTCTCATGATAGAAGGGAGGTTTATTACAGGCTCAGGGTTCGGCGACAGAGCAGGTGCTGTACATGAGGGTGAAAGAGGGTGCCCAGAAATGTCGCGTGGTGTTGCTGCAGGTGGTAACTGCGGTGGACTGCGAAGCAGCGAGTTTGTTGATGGTGTTGCTGGGCTGGGGCCCGGGACGGGTAAGGCGGCCGGTTTGACTCGTCTATGCTGATTTGCAAGTCATGTCTGCTTATTCCGGATAATTGTCA